AAATATTATATCAGATCCGTTTATACAAATTTACCCACACCCTTAAGTTTACACTCTAGCAAATCATTTTGCGAATTTTGATTCCTTGTATATTTATTTTTCACTTCATCCTTGCTCAAATTAAGGGTTTCACCCATATCTATCTATCTATCTGTGTGTATGTATATGTATATACATACACAAATATTTCAAAGTTTTGTTATCACGTTTACTGGGTATTTTAAAATATTTAAAACAATTGCTTTCAGTTTTTTGTTTATATATATATATATATATATGTCTATATATAAAGAAGATATATTTTTTAGATGGAGTCTTTAATACTTAATAGCTTTGCTATAATTACAAAAGGATCTGTTTTTTTTTTTTCCTTTTATAATATTACTTTTATTTACAAATAACAGAATTACCAATTCCTCACTCTTTTAAATTTTATTATTATTAATTTGAGAAAAATTAATTAATGGAAAATTCGTATTTACAATAAATATATAATAACTTAATTAATTATTTTTATATAAATATATTTTCAATTTGTAAATGGAAAAAAAGAAGAAAAAAAAAATACTGATCCCACAGAGCTGGTAACTAGTGGGTCATCTTCTTCCCCTGTTAAAACAACAGTCATGGCTACTCCCAGAACAATTCTTCAACTTTATAAACAACAAACGTCTTGTCTCATCTATGACCCTCTACAGTCCCACAACAATTCTTCAACTTCCTCCTTTTCCACTCTTGTTCTCCAAGCTCCAAAATGTCCGCCCCTAAACTCCTCCTCCTCCTTATCTTCTTCTTCTTCCTCCACACCTGCAACAGGGTCTCGGTTTTAGCCCTGGATTCTGTCAAAACCGGCAACATTGATGTCGTGGTCAGAAGGGCTCGTACCCAATCCATCGAAGATTGCCTGGCGAAAACCGAGCCGGAAATGGACTCCGAGACCAGCCGGAGAGTTTTGTTGATGCAGAAGAAGTACATCAGCTACGAGACGCTGAAGAGAGACATGGTTCCTTGCATTAGGCCGGGTGCCTCTTACTATGACTGTCAGGCTGGGGTAGCAAACCCTTATAACAGAGGGTGTGAGATGATTACGAGGTGTGCAAGAGGTATTAAGGACATCAAGAATTGAAATTGGATGGAAATGGGTAATGAGTCTTTTGCCTTTTATGGATTTGGTATCTTTTTGGGGGTTTATGTAAGTGTATGTAAGATCCATGTTTATACTTCCTATATATACATACATGCATGCTTATTTGGTATTTGCAGAGATCTGGATTTCTTATTTTAGGAGTATTTAGTTCCCTCATTAGAATACAAAACTTTTCTTTTTCAAAAGCGTGATAAGCACCATTGAAAAATTGTTTCCAGAAAACAAGATCTTGATGATGACATTGCCTAAAAATTGTAACTTGTTCTTAAATTTTTGTGCTTCTTTCCAAGTTGGTGTTGGTCATGACAGTTTTAGAAACTTCAAGGTGATCTCAGCTATTTCGTTTTCTTTTTCCCATTCCACTAACCAAGAATTCTATGGTGACCCGGAGGCATCATGTCTCTGTCATATTTCTAAAGTTGCAGAGTGTAGTTATCAAATCACTAGCCAAATTTTCTAAATTACTGCAAATATCCAAATCTATTAAGTTACCGTGAAATGTTGGAGAATTTCTGAAGATATATTTTGCTTTTAGGCACCCAAGTAGCCCCTCCAACTTGCAACCAAGTTTCATTTTTCTGCTTTAATGGTGCTGAAAATCTTCCTGTTAGCAAGAGATGTTTTTAAAGTGGAGAACAGAAGGATCGCATAACTGGATAAGATAATTTTACTGGCAAGTGGGATGCCTTTTTTTAATATCAACTAGACTTTAAGGATATTTCAGCAGTTCTCTGCTGTGTCAAACCTCACCTGCCTCCTGGTTTGAAGGAACTCCTCTTTAGCCAAATGCTTCAGCGGGGATCCGTTGTTCAAATCCTATTTGATGATACTAATCACTGAGTCCAATCTCAGATGATTGACAGGATATCTTCGTTTTCGGAGGGGGGTCACATCTGATTCATAATCCGAGGGGAAACTAGCATAGTTAGCAGTGTAGGTTAGTGTGTTCTGATGCATCTATCTGCTGCTATTTAGCCTTGTTATGCACTCTGCTCTTATCTTAATATCAGAGTTGCTTTTTATACAAAGGAAAACAATCCCTTTCCATAATTTGAAGAAAAAATTCATCTGAGAATAGATATATCTTGCTATCAGTCCTAGAAAAGTGATGAAGTTTCAGTTTTTTGATCTTCACATATTTTTCTTTTTCATAAGCTTAGAACTGAACTGATTCACTTTTACATGAACGGTCTCCATTTTATAGGAGGTATATTAACTATCTTACTTTTTAGGCGTTAACGTAGAAATAATACATTGAGTTGTTTCTTATCAGCTTAACGATTTAGAATAATTGGTCTTCAGTAATTATTATAATCAATTATTTCACATGGTATTAAAGTCAAAGATCTAAAGTTTAAATCTTTAACTGTTAATCTATTTTCACGAGCTAGTTTGTAAATAATATCTATTCCTTTAACTGTTAATTTAAAGTTAAAGGAAGCCCTCTAGAAGATTATCATATCTTTACTGTTGGTCACAGCTTGTCATTATCAAACCTGGTTGTCCTAGCTTGAGACTGGATCATAGATGTTTTCGCTATTATTTATCGACTCGTCTTGTTAACATAGCTCTTTATGTATATAGCTTAATCACCTTTTGGTTTGCCAACAGGTTTCTTGTCACTGACAGATTAGTAGAAAATACCTCTATAATGCATCAGGAAAGCAGGCAAACAGCTGTTTCTTTCGAGCTTGGCCTGCATCCGATTGATATCTTTCTTAAATCTTACTTGCACGGTGACAATTTGCCATTGATGAATTATGCTTTCTAAATTACTATATAAATATTGTGTTTTTGAAGTTTGATTTTAGACTGTCTGCTTTCGATGTTAAAAGGCTTAGGTTAAACAACTAGAGGCATCATACACCTATGGACTAGTGATCTTACGACTCCCGGCAAGACAATCCCCAAGTTATTCATTCTTTCGTACACCATGTCCAACTTGAAACCCATTTTGTAGGACAGCTTAAAAAAGCTCAACCTAATTTTTAAAAGCCCATATAATAGGCCCATTTAAAAAGCCCAGCCTAATTTTAAAGGCCCATTTAATTTACCAATTTAAAAAGCCCAACATAATTTTAAAAGCCCATATACTAGGCCAATTTAATAAGCCCATCCTAATTTTAAAAGCCCATATAATAGGCAAGTTGATGTAATAGGCCCATCTAAAAAACCCATTTAGTAGTCAATTTAAAAGCCCGTGTAATAGGCCCATTTAAAACGTCCAACTTGATTTTAGAAAAGCCCATTTAGTAGGCCAATTTAAAAGGCTCATATGTTAGGCCCACTTAAAGAGACACCTAATTCTTAAAAGCCCATTTGATAGGTCAGACTAAAAAGCCATGTAATAGGCTCATTTTAAAAGCCCAACATAATTTTACGAGCCCATATGATGTGCCCATTTAAAAAGGCCCGCTTAGAAAGCTCAACCTAATTTAAAAGCCCGTATAATAGGCCCATCAAAAAGCACATATAATAGGCCCATTTTAAAAGCCCATATAATAGTCGCACTTAGAAAGCCCAACCTATTTTTAAAAAATCATATAATAGCCCATGTAAAAAGCCCAACGTAATTTTGAATGGCCCATTTAGTAGGACAATTTTAAAAGCCCATGTAACAGGCATATTTTAAAAAGTTCATATAATTGGGCCCGTTTACAAAGCCCAACCTAATTTTAAAAGCCCATATAACTTGCCCGCTTAGAAAGCCCATCCTAATTTTAAAGCCATATAATAGGCCCATCAAAAGCACACATAATAGGCCCATTTTAACAGGCTCGTGTAATAGGCCCGCTTAGGAAGCCCAACTTAATTTAAAAAGGCCCAATAAAGTCCATACAGAAGGCCTATTTAAAAAGCCCATTTAGTATGACAATTTTAAAAGCCCATGTAACAGGCCCCTTTGAAAAAGCCATATAATAGGCTCGTTTAAAATGGCCAACCTAATTTTAGAAGCCCGTATAATAGGCCCGTTCACCAAAGCCGAACTAATCTTAAAAGCCCATAAAATAGGCCCATCAAAAAATCATATTAAAAATTGTAATGATATTAAAAATGATATCAAGTTGAGATGTTTAAAAGTACTGATATTAAAAGTGTATAACCTTTGCTCTCTTCTTCAAATTTAGGGCGGAGGAGAATTCCCAATTAAGTCGGGTAAATTGTTCAGAGAAAAATATCGGTGTACATATTGCATTTTCATGAAGATAATACGAAGAAAATAGCTTTACAAAAACTCAAGCAGAAATAAATCTAAGTTTTTTTTCTTTTTCAGTATAAATGATAAAGGCTTACGCACCAAAGGGTCCCTATTTTGATTTATATGATGTTTGGCCCAACTTTAGTCCAGTTAAAGAATCCATTGGTTGGGTTAAAGGCCCAAAAGAATGTCCAGTTAAAGAATCCATTTTTGACTATTTTTGTAAAGTGACCTCATTCTCATCTTCTTAAAATCACCAATTTATCGGTTTTTGCAGATTCTACCAAGAAAATATAATTCATTTGAGAAAATCTTTTTCTTTTTTTCCTTTTTCAAGAATTAAAATCCGATACAGACGCAGGCAATACACGCCCGCATGCATCAGTTTATAAATTATCCACACAGCCACAACCCAAACATTATTTAAAACCAACTGGTCTTCTTTCACCACATACCTTCTCTCATTTCCCCTCCTCCCCAAACTTTCCCCCCACCCAAAACACCCCTACAAGAATCATAAACCCTAATCCTCTACCAGAATAACCATTCTTGGAAATATCAAAACAAACAATCAAGTCCTTTTTTTTTTTTTTGTCTCTCTCTCAAAATATAGCACTTCTCTCGCCTCAGTACCTGTAGTGAGCAGGCTTGTATGGACCCTCAACTGGCACGCTGATGTAGTCAGCTTGGTCCTTGCTGAGCTTCGTCAGCTTGGCTCCAAGCTTCCCTAGATGAAGAGCAGCAACTTTCTCATCAAGGTGCTTGGGCAGAACGTACACCTTCTTCTCGTACTTGCCAGTTGCCTTCTCCTTCCAGAGCTCCAGCTGGGCAATCACCTGGTTTGTGAATGAGCAGGACATCACAAAGCTAGGGTGTCCGGTGGCACAACCCAAGTTCATGAGCCGACCCTCAGCCAACACAATGATGCCAGTGTTGGTTTCCGGGAAAACCCATCTGTCAGTTTGGGGCTTGATGGTGATGCGCTTGACACCCGGATAGGTTTCAAGTCCGTGCATATCAATTTCATTGTCAAAGTGACCAATGTTGCAGACAATGGCATTGTTCTTCATCTTCTTCATGTGGCTAACCATTATAATGTCCTTGTTACCAGTGGTGGTGACAAAGATGTCGGCCTCGGAGACAACATCTTCCAGGGTTAAAACTTGGAGACCCTCCATCAGAGCCTGGAGAGCGCAAATGGGATCAATCTCAGTAACAATGACTCTGGCACCAGCCTGCTTCAAAGCTGCGGCACAGCCCTTGCCAACATCACCATAACCGCAAACAACAGCAACCTTTCCAGCAATCATGACATCAGTTGCCCTCATCAGACCGTCAGGGAGAGAGTGGCGGCATCCGTACAAGTTATCAAACTGTTGTCACATAGCCGGTTGTAACCATTGTTAGATGAGAAAAGAACACGAGCAAACATGTAATATCATAACATTCTAATCTGAAGGATTTCTCCTCCAATTTGAATATCATGCTTAATTTACAATCTGAATTCGTTAAGAATACCTGATTCTGTTTCATGCAAAGAAACTCTTACTCCAACTAATTAGTCAAATATTTCAAATTGTACTAGTATTTATTTCCTGCAATTCATTTCTGCTGAATATAATGTTGGTAAATGTAAAGCAATAAATCATAGTATGACAAAGCACGTAAACATCAGATCTAGGACTTGCAATTCCAACTTCAACATCAGCATCAATTTGGTTTCAATAATTAACTAACTACGAGATTTAACAAAGAAAACGGGACCATTTCGACAGATCAGATATGAAGATAAAAACCTAGATCCGACCTAAAATTAACCAGATCTAATAGATCTGGACCAATTAAAAAGGCAGAACACGATTTGAAAATGAAGATTCAGTACCTTGCTCTTAGTGACTGAGTCATTGACATTGATGGCTGGGAACAACAGAGTTCCATTAGCCTGCATCTGGTAGAGTCGCTTAACTCCGGTGGTAGTCTCCTCAGAGACACCAACCAATCTTTCCTTCATCTTGTGGTACCTCTTGGGATCAGTCTTGAGGCTGTCCTTAATGATAGTGAGCACGATCTGGAACTCGGCATTATCGGTAGAGTTTGGATCGGGCAACTGACCGGTCTTCTCGAAGATCTCCTCAGCCTTCACACCCTCGTGGATCAAGAGAGTGGCATCACCACCATCGTCAACAATAAGATCAGGGCCACCGGATGGACCCCAGTCGAGAGCGCGCTCGGTGCACCACCAGTACTCCTGCAGAGTCTCACCCTTCCATGCGAAGACAGCGGCGGAATCCCTAGCGATTGCGGCAGCGGCGTGGTCCTGAGTGGAGAAGATGTTGCAGGAGCACCAACGGACCTCGGCACCGAGAGCGGTGAGGGTCTCGATGAGGACGGCGGTTTGGATTGTCATGTGGAGAGATCCGGTGATCTTGGCGCCCTTGAAGGGTTGTGAAGGTCCGAACTCAGCACGACAGGCCATGAGACCGGGCATTTCGACCTCGGCAAGCTCGATCTCAAGACGGCCAAAGTCGGCCTGAGACATATCCTTTACCTTGTACTCGCGGCCGCTGCTGGTTTTCTCAACGAGCAAAGCCATGGCTGCAAGGAGATAGAAAGAACAAGGAGATCAAGATAAGATTAGAAGAACACACACAACTCTCTCGCTCTAGGATTTTGTAAGATGGAGAGCGAAGGAAGTGTATGGGAGCGACGATTAAGGATGGAGATGAGAGGATGTATAAATAGGGATTAGGGTTGGTGGTGGATCTGGTAAACATGTTCTTTTCCGTGAAAAATCGATTACGTAGGAAGCGGAAATGATTCAGGAAATGAACGGTGATCCAGAAAGCCATGTCATCCTGGGCCCACTTTAGCCACGTGTCTTTCTCTCCTTGGTCTAAATTACACACAGAGCTTAGACAAGGCTTGTCGCACCTAATCCACTCCCTTATTGCCCACTTGCCGCAGCCTCAAGTTTGGCCTTATACAGCCCAAAAACATCCTCCACCTAAAAATAACTTGCCATTTTTACATTACCAAATTTGGGAATTACATTCTGTATATATATTTCATAATCCTCTCTATTTATTAAATAATCGAACCCTAATTATTACTATAGTTTGTCATTTTTCAAATATTATTAACAAAATAATCAACTTAATTACCCAGTACATTTAATTTAATATTCAATGTATGTTATAATAATGTAATAGTAATAACTAATTTTCTAATTATTGATTTTTATAATTAATTATTTGTAAAAAATAATTATTAGAGACATGTTGGGCATACTGTTGACAACCGACATGGCATCACCTAAAATCCATAACGCAGCAAAAATGAATATATATTTTATTAAAAAAATAATTCGATGTTATGTTAATTTAACATAAATTTTGATTTAAAATATAAGTTACACTATAATAAAATAAAATTTAGCAAATTACTTAATTAGTCTCCAAAATTAACATTTATTATAGTTTCGTATATTTAATAACATTTTCTATTTATTTTAAACAACTAGTTTCAATTAATTTTATAATTAAACAAGTTAAAATTTTTAGTTTATATTTAAATGTTTTAAAAATAGTTTAAAAAATCATTCAAACATAATTTAATAATTTTATTTTTTTCTTTTATGAAGTAAAATAAAATAAATAAGGTCAAAAATAAATTATAAAAAGTTCTAGAGACTAATTAATAATTTATTTTAAATATTTTGTATCATAATTTGTTGTTGAGAGAAAAAATCAATTAATCAGGATGGGAAGTGCGTGGGACCTCATGTTCTGACAAAGTGAGTAGTAGTGAGCCAGATCTTTGACAACACACATGATTTAGTGGGACCCACGCCTGGGTAGGGACGGTCACGATTGCATCCGTCGGTGGCAAAAATACAAATAAATAAATAAATAAATGAGATATTTTTGTTTTAGATCTGAAAACTAATTATAACACTTTAAAAATATTCAAGTCGAGGAGGGGGAGAATTTCGCCGGGGGGAATATTAACACGTGCTTTTGTAGGGTAGTCGGTTGCACGACCACCGGAATATTAAATCTCCTTAATTATAATTTTTAATTAATCTTAATAAATTATTACATGTATATATATATATATATATATTCTTTGGTTACAAGAAATTTAAAACAACTCCATTTTGTTGACAAACATGGTTGAGAGTTGGACCAAAACTCCTCCCTAGTTGGTTGGTGTGTGGGGTTGGTGATAATTTATTTTTAATTAAAAAATTATTTATTTTCCACATGCAAAACTATGTAATTAATTTTGCAAATTAATTATTATTTTTTTGCTAAAATGTAAATAATGTTTTTGTTTGGTAAGAAATGCATCACTTGCAAGGGGGGGGGTTGGTGTGGGTGAAAAGACCAAAATGCCATTCAACAACCCATAAAAGACATAAATTAATATAATAGTCCTCCAACTTTTTAGGTTACCAAATTTAAGCCACTTTTTTTTTTTTTTTTAAATAACCTACCAACCCCCGAGGATGACGACATTATGCGTCATTATTAGTCCATACTCTTAACACGGTAATTCACAAAATTATTTCCTTCACAAATTAAAATTAATTTCGTAATTTTTATGATATTCTTCCTCATTTCTATAACAACGCATATTTAAATCAAACAATATTGTATGTATGTTTCTTTATAAAATTAATTCCGTTATTTTTTTATTATAAAATTAATTATATTATTATTGGCAAATTAATGGAATTTTATTATTAAAATTTATAATTTTTTATTAAATAATAAAAAAATATATTACAAAATACAAGAATTTTGTGAAAATATAATAAGGTTATGTTATTGTTTAAGTTTTTTAGTACATAATTTTTTAGAGAGAATGTATAATAAGGTTATGTACACGTATTAGTTATATAACGAAAATCATTTTAAAATAATAATAGATACAAAAATTAAAATTTATGATATTTTATAAATAAAATAATATATTAATTACTTAATTAAACAGTAATTGATGTATTTTACATTAATCAATCAACAAATTGTGGTAATTATATCCGTGACATACATACATATCATTTGTAGCATTAATACTTAATCTCATTAATTTATTTTTGACTCCATTTAATACATTGTTTAATCATGAATAATTTTGCAAATAAATTATCGAAAGAAATTTATTATTTTCGTTATTATAATTATTTTACCGATTTACCGTTGTAAAAACTATCGTAAAATTTAAAAAAAGAAAAAATGTAACTTGCGAAAAAATCCACTCTCACCCACCATACAAAAAGAAATAAAATAAAAAATGAAAAGTAAAAAGACTAAATTGGAACAACAACACACGCTTAACCAAACCAGATTATGGAGGGTAAAATCGTACTTTCAAATATCTGCAAACTCTTTTAAACCCCAACATTTTCTCCAGCATCATTCATCACGACCCTCGTGTCTCTCCCATCTGTCTCTCTGCGAACCCTCCCTCCTTCAATCGCCAGAAATGGATCCAGTCGACGTATGGGGCAATAGCTCCCTCGATACAGTGGACCCGGAAATCCATGATCTAATCGAGAAGGAGAAACGCAGGCAATGCCGTGGGATCGAGCTCATCGCCTCCGAGAACTTCACCTCCTTCGCCGTCATCGAGGCCCTCGGTAGCGCCCTCACCAACAAATACTCGGAGGGCATGCCCGGAAATCGCTACTATGGCGGAAACGAGTTCATCGATGAGATCGAGAACCTCTGCCGTTCCCGCGCTCTTCAGGCCTTCCATCTCGACCCTGCAAAGTGGGGTGTCAATGTGCAGCCTTACTCTGGTTCTCCCGCCAACTTCGCTGCCTACACCGCCGTGCTCCAGCCTCACGACCGCATCATGGGTCTGGACCTTCCTTCCGGTGGCCACCTTACGCATGGGTATTACACTTCCGGCGGGAAGAAGATATCGGCGACCTCCATTTACTTTGAGAGTTTGCCTTACAAGGTGAACTCTTCTACTGGTTACATTGACTACGACAGGTTGGAGGAGAAGGCTTTGGATTTCAGGCCAAGGCTGATTATCTGCGGTGGCAGTGCGTACCCGAGGGATTGGGATTACGCCAGGTTTCGGGCTATAGCTGATAAGTGCGGTGCGCTTTTGCTATGTGACATGGCTCATATCAGTGGCCTCGTTGCTGCTCAGGTATTTTCTTGCCTTCGTTTTCTGTAGATCTGTGCTTAATTCTGTCTGATTCTGGTTTCTTGTCGGAGATCGAATGCTGGGAGATTGGATCTGGGTTCTATGTGATTTAGCGTCTTTTTCTCGAAATCTGGATCAATGTTTTCCTGTACTCATTTATTTATTGAATATGTTGCATAGATCTGCGTATCCAGTAATGGGAATCTTTGGGCTTTTTTGTCTGTTTTTTCTTCTACTCTGTACTTATCCTTACTATGTAAAGGAAATGGTAGCTAACTTGCTTGTCATTCTCCTTCCTCCTTTTTCTTCCAGACCAAATATTGGAATCTCCCGTTAGAACAATTCTACTATCTGATTCACTATCTTTAAATGCATTATCTTCATACAAGTCATACTTTCACAAGCAGTGCGTTAATGTCTCATTGTTCCTTAGATCTTTGGTGTTGGATCTTGAATGAGCACAGGAGTACTGTAAGCAACAAACTGGAAATAGAAGCAGAGTAATAGGTTTTGTTTTACAAAATGGGGCTTCTTTCCTGGATTTAGTGGTATAATGTGACACTTTTTTTTAACATTTCTTATGGCAGGGATTTTGAATCTTGATAAGTTTAATACGATTCAATATTTGAGCATATGCTAGATCAGTACTATTCCACTTAATTCAATCAGAAGATGGTGGATTTGTATTCTCCCTTGTTATGGGAGAAATTTTGAAAAACCGAACTTTAATTGGAACTTAGAATTACAATGCTATTATCTTTCAGATATTGATTTAATTTCTTCTGTTTTCCCGTTTCTTTTAGATAGAATTACATTTTGAGCTAAACTCAAACCTTATTATTTTGTTGAAATTGTTGTATATAGGAAGCTGCAAATCCTTTTGAGTTCTGTGACATTGTCACAACAACTACCCACAAGAGCTTGAGAGGTCCGAGGGCTGGTATGATCTTCTACAGGAAGGGATCTAAACCTCCTAAAAAGGGCCAGCCAGAGGATGCAGTCTATGACTTCGAGGACAAAATCAACTTTGCCGTTTTCCCCTCCCTTCAGGGTGGCCCCCACAATCACCAGATTGGTGCTCTGGCTGTTGCCTTGAAACAGAGCATGGCCCCTGGGTTCAAAGCGTATGCTAAACAAGTCAAGGCCAATGCTGTTGCCCTCGGAAACTACTTGATGAGCAAGGGGTACAAGCTTGTTACTGGTGGAACTGAGAACCACCTTGTTCTCTGGGATCTACGGCCTCTTGGGTTGACAGGTAAACAAAAGAATACTCTTTTTCTCGCTTTTGGAGTTGGGAACATTTATGTTATGGATGCAATTCTAATATTCTTGTGGTTCTTTGCAGGTAACAAGGTTGAGAAGCTTTGTGACCTGTGCAACATTACTGTGAACAAGAATGCTGTGTTTGGTGACAGCAGTGCTCTGGCCCCCGGAGGAGTAAGAATTGGTAAGATCTGCTCATTAACAGCAAAGCAAAACTATGATTCTGGTGTAACTGTATTTAACTGAGAAAACTTGTAGATTTATGCTGAAAAGTGAAAACTTGCAGATTTATGGCTGTATTTTCCTTGATACTTCTGTTTTTAAATGCTCTATCATCATGGTGGCACCTAGTATATTGGTGTCAGACTGATATGGAATGGATTGTCGGTGGTAAATAGTATAAATATATGAATGCATATAGCCGCTGCATCCATCTCTACCTCAAAATATAGGAAAACTATGATTCCACATAAGATCATGTCTTTTTTGTTTAATAGTTCAGCATCATTTGGTTTGTTTGTCTTTTTAGATAAATTTATTAGTATTTTAATGGTACTATTTTGAATTTCTTTGTTGTGTTCTCTATAATTTTAATTTGTTTAGCAGTCTAGATGCTTATAGATATCCTTTAAAAAAAATTAACAGATTGATGTAAATGATAAAAAATCAAATTATAATGTACTGGAAAAAACAGAGTTTGAATAGTTTATCAAATAGATAGTAGAGGAAAACGAAACTGCCATATCCTTTATTGGTATTAAAGTCACGTTTTGTCGGCACAGGTACCCCTGCCATGACTTCAAGAGGTTTGGTGGAGAAGGACTTTGAGCAGATTGGAGAATTCCTCCACCGAGCAGTGACAATAACATTGAGCATCCAGAAGGAGCGCGGGAAGCTCTTGAAGGACTTCAACAAAGGGTTGGTGAACAATAAAGACATCGAGGCACTCAAAGCTGATGTCGAGAAGTTTGCTTCCTCATTCGACATGCCCGGCTTCAAAATGTCTGAAATGAAGTACAAGGATTAGTTCCAAGACAATCATATCATCTGCATTTCTCATCAACTTCTGGTTTTATGAAAAGGTTACCTCATTTTTATAGTTTATAGGATTTGCCAGCAACATTTGATTTCTGTTTTTATTTGCATCCTCCGACAAAGGGTTCTTGCAATAACTTGATGTATTCTCCTCGATTAAACATGTTCTTTACATATGAAAATTGGTTTTTCATATACAAATTTACAGTTTGCTGGCTGATTATGGAAATTGAAGTATTTTGGCAATGAGAATGCAATGAACAAAGAAAAACATAACTTTCCAACTGAAAACTGGAGAAACATATTTATTTGGGTCAGAAATTACAAAATTATTTTCATGAACTTGGACTTCAAATCCACGTTTTTGTCCAATAAGTTTGGGCTAATAATGGGCAAGTGACAACTTGCACACAAGAACTGTGCCATGGGAAGACAGGAATGCTGCTACTTGAGCGCTTCAAAGACATTCGGAGATATATATATCATTAAATTACAATACTATGTTAATTTTCAAAAAAATTAACGTGGAGACATAATGCACCCGAAGAACCATAGAATTGGCAAAATATAGCCAAACAAGGACTGCCCAGAGGCAAGGCAAATTAGAAAATAAGGCTAAATATGCATAACAACTTCTTTTACTACAAAACTTTACAGTTTATATAGAAAACATATTGAATTCTCTACAAGTGACCATCTCAAATGTGCATCCTCTGACGTGTTGTGCTGTGCTGCGATGTCTCATTTTCATCAGACACTTTGTGCATCTACTAGAACTCATTGCAGATGGATAACTTCAATCAAATATCTCCTGGGATTCAATTATACTATGCTGACTGCAACATACACCAAACACATTAGTCTGGAAAAGGAACCAAATAACAGAGGAAATTTGGATGCCTATGGGGGAAAAAGAACAAAAAAAAGACATTGAGCCTTACTGATCATCTTTTGATACGCGATAATATCGTTCCGCATGCTGTCGTTGACCAATTAGTTGAGCAAAACGCTCGTCATGTGTAATTACTATCAGCTGAAAATTCTCCTGCCCCTTTCTATCCTCCATAATTCTACAGAAAGATTGAAAACAAGAACATGGATAATTGCAACCAACTATCCTGCAGAAACCAAGTTTAAATCTGCTCTTACCTAAGGAGAGCTGCGGCAAGACTTTCTACATTCGGGCCATCTAAGTTGGTAGTAGGCTCGTCTAGAGCTAATATTCCACAGTTAAGGCAGAATGTCTCAGCTAGAGCTAATCGTATGATTAGAGAAGCAAGGACCTAAAACAAAACCAAAAGATTTTTAAGTTTAAAAAGCTTGCAGATAATACACTTGTTTCTATATCATTTTTTTTTTTCAAAAAAAGAGTGGCCTTTCTTTATTTCCCTTCCTTTACAGGCTACTCACCTTCTGACCAGCACTACATCTTCCTCTCATCTCTAGCTCTGCATCACCAGTTTGCATCAAGACCTGTGTAAAACGCAACATGACAGTACAAATTCAAAGTTTGAAGTAAACAGCACAAAAAAGTAAAGGAGATGGAAAACAAGAAGTTCCCGCACCCTGTAGCTATAGGATCGAGTCCCGGCACCTTCAGAATCTGAATGGATACTTATGTAATCTATGTCCTGTCCTCTGTAAGTCTGCTGCCACAATTCTCTTATAATTTTATTTATCTCCTCCATTTTCATTGTGTGGAAGCGCATTAATGCTCTAACAAAAATTGAACCAAAAAAAGGAGCAAGATACCAATGACAAACTGCAGCCAAGCCAAGGATCATGAAACAGATGACTATTCCTCTCATATATATATGCAAAATGACAGACAGAAACAAACTAATAAAAAGAGAAAGTAAAATGAACAAATCATGCTATTCAGCAGAGTGAAATTTAAACTAACATCAAGTATGATAGAAACATGTTAAAAGCCTGTTGACCCAGTACGGAGACAAACAAAATAGTGACCAGAATCTCCCGGTATAGTATCTTTTATTTCCAGCAAGTGTAATAGACTTTCATTCATGAAAATCAAAATCCTATTTAACAATGCAAAGAAAAGCTTCAATCAAGAAAGAGCACAAGATCTTCAAAAGGTTGTGAGATTGTACAACCATATCTTTTCTTCATTATATCTCTTGTTAGTGAAATTTGAAATATTCACAAGACAGATGAGATTGATGCACGGTGAAGACCATGATGTTAATGGAGTAGCTTACTTGTCAAGTGCATTGTAGTATCTATCTAGGTCCTTGTTTGCCATTTCAGTCGTCTGCCACAGAAGGTTAAACTTATTAAATTAATAAAGTGATATGTATAAAAATGAGGATATCCTAAGCAGCTTAAAGATGTTTCCCACCTTGAGTTGGATTAGTTGGTCAAAGTACCGCTTATCAATGTCCTTATATTGTGCATGTTTGAGATCAATTTTGTTCTTTGAAATATTGCTCTGGTAAACAGACATAGTTCCCCGGCACTGGTTCAACTGTGGGGAAAAAATCAGGGGTTAATGTTTTGAAGTAAACAAAGATAGTGGCCTCAATACCCAAACTTGACATATAAACAAGACACCTGAACTATCAGCCTAACATGAGATCCTCTTCCATGATCAAAAGAAAACCAAAACAATTCATATCTTATAGATCTTCCAGCAGGTCAAGACATTCTAGGGCTTTTTCAGCAATTAAACTTCACTTTATACTAGATTAGACCTCACAACACCACCAACTCCTCTTGATTTCTGAAACAATTTATCCTTTTCCTACCATGCTACTTGAGACTTAAGGTAGGAAATAAATAACAGCAAAATGCATGCATTTGAAAATTCTGCAAAACTCCCATGCTAGCATGAAGTTTTAAGAATAAAAAAATGTAACAAATTGAGAAAATAACAGGAAGAAACTGACCAAAACAAGTAGACTATAGACTTCTAGACCACAAAGGTTCTGTTAGGCCCTCCCACCCAGTTTTTGACACTGTAATGTGTCACTTGTCAGAACAATTTTGAACTAAAACACTTCCAGGACAATTTTGACACTGTACATGTGTCCCTCCTTTACAATTTGGGATAAGAAAAGAGATGCAAAATAAAAGAGTTAAATGATTATTGATTAAAAGATAAGTGTATTAAACAAGCAATAATTCACTTCAATGCAAAGATAGGAATCTTGAATTATAGATAAAAGTAAGAGACAAGAGCCAGGATTTTTTTTCGGAAATAAGACGAGCAAGAAAAATATGATCAGCTGGATGAAGTTCTATCCAATAAGAAATTATACAGTACCAAATGTCATCAATATCCTCAGTTTGAAACAAAGCACTCAAGAACCTAATTAAATGAATAGTTGAAGATAGAAACCTTCTATATACCTCCGATAGAAGTCTCTCCCTTTCTTGTGATAACTTCCTCAGTTCGGCTTCAACTGTAGAAACCCCACCAATCTTCATTATTCTTTCTTCTAGTGATTCGATGTCGCGAGTCAGTTCATCTACTTCAGCCTTTGTTTTCCTGTAATTCAAATTGTCCTCAATATTTCGTCTTAATTGATCCTGATTTCGCATTAAGTCTTTACTTTTGTTTAGCTCAGCTAAAATTTCCTGCTTTCTTGTTTCACAACCCTCAAATTGAGATTCTGATACACGTTGCTTTTCTTGCAGTTCGCTTAACCTCTCTCCTTTCTTCATATCATAATACCTAAAAGGAAAAAAACATATAAATGGGCTAATGCCAGACAAGAACCTTATATATACTGTTCTTTGCTTCAGAAGAAATACTCTTTAATCTTAGCTGTTATCTTCAGTAGTGTCTCAACTTCCTGTTGATAATTTCTCTTTCCTTCAGCCTGCTCTTCATATTCATGGCTAAGTTTAACTTTCAAATCATTGTAGTCACCCAGTAATTTTTCTTTCTCCTTAGATAAGGGGCCAAGGGCCTCCTTCAAGTGCTGAAAGAACAAAGAAAAAAATAAGCATTTTTAAGGAAATGGCATGTCAGGAAAATAAATCTAGAAGTCTTGGTTAATGTTACCAGAAATGATTTAAATTTACTGTCAGTCAAGTCCTGATAACTGCTTATCAATTTTCCAAATCACCCACAAATAATAAGCCTCATGTAATTTTATCTTAATAAAATAAATTATTATATCTTAACAAAATTTCAGGCTCAAATGCCAAAGTGCTAACAGTTTAGTACAAGTCAATAACTTGGGCCGTCTTTTCTTTTAAGGTTACCGTCTTCATGACAGAAAGGAGCATTGGGACCTTCTAGAAGTTTGACTAATTACTTGTTTGTAAATGCCTGACATTATTGTCTTATGACAAATGAGCTTCATAGGCAAACTCTATTCGACAATAGGGAAATAAATTTTCTACCTAGTTCTACTTAATTGCATGAAACCAGAAAAATCTTAGGAATGCAGTTGTAAAAGAAATCTTTTCTATTCATGTTTCGCTTTACCTTTTCTTAAAAAAACAATAGAAAATTTCAGAAATAAACGACTAAAAATGCTTTCAGAGAGAAAAGATACACTAGACCAGAAAGGATGTTTATATCCTTTTAAGCGGAAAACAAGGAAAACTATTATCTTTTAGTTTATATGGAAAGCATGGAAACTTTTTCTTTCAAGTTTTTATTTTGACTTGATGGAAAACAGTTTCTAAGATCAAGTTCTGATTTTCTAACAACTAACATTGATTTACCAGGTTTTTTGTTCTTTCTGAAAATTTTCTAGAAAATTTTCACAATTTTGTCACGACTAAATGCACCCTTAAATGCTAGGCTTCTGCCTTAAGGAGAAAACAACTGACTAAGATGAATTATCCCAGGAATTAAAGAACTATGAAGTATAAAAATTTACTAACAGAAGTAATATCAACAAATCTTGGAACAATAGGCAACCTTTTCGTCTAAATCAACTTGGCTTTTCTCCTCAGCCAGACGCTCCAATTCTTCTTCTGCCTTCTTAACATCACGTAATGTGTTGGCTGCTTTAACTTTCTCCTCCCTTAATGTGTGCCACCTTATTTGAATATTTGATAAATCATTCTCCATGTATCTTTGTTCATCTCTTAATTTCTCCAGTTCATTCTGCAAAGTGTCCCTGTTTGCAAGAGGAAGATAAAACACATAGAAAAGAAAGACAAATCAAACCAAAATCAGTAAAAATCAGAATAGCAACAAGAATTCAATAATTAGATACTGAAAAAGAAAGAAACTTAGCACCCGAGCAAACTGGAAGAATACATATTAAAGGAGATTTATCCTAATCCAGGTTGCATAGATTTACTAATATCTTGAAATGCCAAGAGAACAAAGAAAAATATACTATTTACAGTTATAACCTACGGATAAGTTTCTCTAGAAAATAATCCATGGATAAGCTGAAGTAACTCACTTTGTGGTCTGTAATCCATTTAGCTCCAACTGAATTTCTTCCATGGTTCTAACACCTTGCCCTCGAAAATCAAGCTTGTACTCCAAATCATCAACTTGCTTTTGCCAAGTTTGGATTTCTTGGAAAAGCCTATCAGCTGTTTCAACAGGCAGTACCAAGGCCTCTACTGAGTCCTTGTCAGCTTTTATTTGTGCTAAAATACCTAAAACCTACATGCAAAAGTATTTTTCTCATGGTTTAACTAAATAACCAGGTTCCAAAACTGAAAGATATCTTATTCCCACATTAGAAATTAAAATTAAATGATTTTTTCTATAAAGAATAAATTTTTATTAAATGTAGTGCCAAGCAAATCTCAATTCCTGAAGCATTTTCAAGGTTTCATTGGCATTCAGAGGGACATTGCCAGCAACAGTCCATCAAATGAAAGGATACAAATAATTTGGTACACATTATCTCCTAGTCACTAAGTACATGTATGCAAGAATCTGCTAATCCAACCAATGAGCTGTGGCTCAGTGGTTATAACCTCCCCACTTACACTTGGGTAAGGGGCTGGTTTGGGTTCACTCCCCAGTTTACTCAGTGGCTTGACCACTAAATAAAAAAAAATTATCTGCTAATGCTTTATATCAAAACATTATGGGATGCCCCAAATAATCAATCCATGAAGTACTCACTCAAGAAGGCTCCTCTGTGAAATGACCTCACATATCAAGAGGATTTGCCAGTATAAAACTCTTTTTCTTTAAACACTTTCAATTTTACTTTTATTATATTTGGGTGGCACTCCCTATTCCTTCCTAAATGAAAGAAGAAACGTTATTGGAAATAGAGAGGGGGGAGAGAAAGAGAAATATTTGCCACCCTCACAAAACAAGAAAAAATGAGAAAAATAAAAGAACAGCTGAACACAAATGAAAGGTCATGTCAATACAATAATTCCTAGAAAGAAAACGAAGTTATCCTACATGACCATCAATGCTCAATAGTGGGTACCTGATTTTCTGACACCATGCAATCCACATTCGGATATCAAGTAAATAAGTCCTTTCTTATTTTAAAATCAATTGGAAGGTTTAATAATAGCGAATAGAGTTCATTCAGTCACTTTCATTTGGAAGAGGGGCATGTTGTGGAGTAAGAACAATAAATTTAGTGAACTAAAACCAAGATCTCCTAAAGCAAAATATAATATGCTTACGTCATCAAGGGCCTGAGATTTACAATCTAGTTCTTCATTAAGCTCTTGCAAATTTTTCTCAGAAAGAGGGATTGTTTCTTTGCCAAGTTTAATATATTCTTCGTAAACCATACGAAGCTTGTCCAACTGCTGGAAGAATGAGTCAGCATTCAATGATTCTGATGCTAAGACTTTCATATGCTCGGCAGAACTTGCAGCCTTAACTCTTTGCTGTTATTTACAAAAACGAAAAAAAGATCCTCGGTTAAGTGCAAGTTACCCCAGTTTGAAGGGCCTTATGCTATCTGAGTTAATGAAAGCCCAGATGGCAGGTGATATTGCCCAAATTTTCCCCCAAGCAACATATAACATCCTAAAGATTAATTACAAAATATACCAACTTTTTTAACAAATTCATCTTCCTCTTCGGCAGAGAAAGAGCGCTCACAGCAAGGGCAAATATGATGAGCGCGGGCAACTCTTTCAAAAGGATCAAACATTTGTCGCATACCATCTGCAATATTGTATTTGCTGCAAATAATGCACCAGATGCAGCATTAGGAAGTTCATAAAACCAAAATGTCATATCAATTCAACCGTAAAGGTAATCTATATCAAGCATGGGAAGAAAGAAACTACCTTTTCTGGACATCTCTTTTCTCCTTAGCAGTCTCCAACACTTTCAGATAAGTATCAATGCCTAAGGATTGCTGATCCATGGAGTGGAGTTTGGATTCAATAAATCTCTTTCTTGCTGCAGTAGAATTAATTAATCAATTATGTAGAAATTCAGAGAAAAACCATTTTACTTAGATGACTTTTTCCTCCATTCAGTCTCCACATTTGGGTCATGAATTACTTCTGGATAGTTACTAGGTCTGACTCTTCAACATAGCCAAAAGCATGAGTGTGTAACAACAATGGTAAGCACCTAAATTACATTACCTGTGCCATTTAGTATCCAAATTTGGGTTGGGTCATGAATTACTTCTGTACAGTTACTAGATCTCAGACCCTTTAACATAGCAGAACAAGAATGACATGTAACCTCAAGAATGCTAACTATGACATCAGCCCTAATTTAATTAAAACAGTGATGCAAAACATACATTCCATATCCTTCTGATGTTTGAACAGGTTATTGTTAACTTCTTGCATCTTCATCTGCAGCATATTTACCTCCTTCTCAGCTTCACGGGATTTACTGCTCAAGTCATCAAATTCCTTTTCAAGTGTCCTTTACAAAGAGCAAAATCAACTTAGAACAAAGTCCTGATGTTTATCGAAGAGAGGAAATATAGTTCTTAAAGAAAGAAGAAGATAACAAAAAGAAACAAGATACAAAATGCATTTAATTAATTTCTCTTCTGACTAACTACATGCATACACAAAGTTAACAAAAGGAAAGAAGAACCTGAGGACTTGAGCAATTTCCTTCTTCAAATCTTTGTCAGATGGAAGCCTGCCCTTCAGCACTCCCCTAATTCTATCCTTGTACTCGTCAATTCTAGGGAAACAAAAATCAAAGAGAAACCCACACTCAAATTGCTAAAAGGTTTCGTAAAAATATAAAAGAGTAATTCTGATGAAACAACAAAACTAGCCTCACATCTTTTTATGTTTCTTCTTATGATTATCCAACTCTGCCTTCTTCAAAGCCAGTTTCACTCTATCCTCAGAATCACCAGCCATGATATCTTTCTCCCGATTAAGAGCCTTAATCTTCTGCTCTAAACTATACAGCTCACTCTGTTTTTGCCGTATATTTGATTCAAATTCTCTTTCAGCAAGTTGGTTTGTCTTTCTTTCAACTTCAAGTCGCTGCCGAAGAGAGAATGAGGATTCGCATTACTTAAATATCATACTTTCCAAAAGGAAAGTAAGTTTGCAAACCTGAGCAAGGGCATAGAGAGGCCATCCTCACCATATTCTTTTCTCTTTCATCAATGTGAGAAAGATCGACGTTAGATATCTGAATTTCAAATGAATCCCGCTCTTTTTCTTTTTCTTTTATGCGTTTAATGATGCCACTCTGCATGGAATGTAACAGAAAATTAAATCTGTGGAACATTAATGAGCTGGTACTTGAGAAAGTTGCATTACACCTGTTCCTAGAGATGCACCTTAATCTCAGCCTTAGCTTGCTTCTGAGCCTCCATGCTTTTCCAACGATCACTTGCATCCATGTACTGATCCCAAGCTGTTTTAAGAGCTATTTCGTTCAATTGCTGAAATGAAATCAAATTGCCCCAGATAAATTAAGTCAATATTTAACATCCTAATAAGATGGATCGAATACAAACATAATTTATATATGGGTTGGCAACCCCTTCGTGCCAGTTATCAATGATACATTTTACTTATTTCGGAAAAAAAAAAAAAAAAAATCAACGATATTTTCTACACTTTTTATTTTTTTAAAAAAAAGACAAATTGAATACAGATCAAAATATATGATTACAAACACAATAGAAAGATAAACAGGCAATAGAAGAGGAAAAAAAATACCTTTTTATCTTGCAAATCTTTCTCAAGATCTGTTAACCTTGATTTTATTCGATTTGTGAGGTTCAAAACAACATCAGTACTGAAGGGGGCATTTGGAAGAAACCCCAAATTATGCTTTGCATATAGTTTCTGGATAGTTGAATCTCGTTCATTCTTCAAGGAAACATGAGCCTAGGGAAAAATCCAACGAGTAAATTGGAAGTCAAATTATGGAATACTAGAAAGGTTCTAATTATGAAATTCTGCACAATCATTGACATTACTTCAGCTTCAGTCTGCAGCTTGCTGATCTCCAAGATATAATCGTTTATAGTCCGCTTCAGGAAAGAACTTTTTGTTTCTGTGTCATTCATTTCTCTCTCCAACTTGCTAATTTTAATCTCCAAAATTCCAATCCTTTCTTCAAACTTGGTTTTCCATTCCTTCAACTCTTCATCAGTATCTGATTAGTATAGTATTAAAATAAAGATTAGAAGTAACATTGAGGATCCAGACGGCAGCATCCACATACTCCCTATAGCAATAAAAAGCACAAAACAAAAGGTGGACCAACTAGAGGAAAATATCAGAACCTAAAGGAACACAAGAAGTTTCTTCTTTATTTGCCAACAAACCTTCATTTTCCTCAGCAAGGGCAGCATATTGTTTCTGCTGCTCTTTAAACAAAGTGCTCCTTTGTGCAGTCTTTATTGATATCTGGTCCTGTAATTTCCGTAAATCTTTCAATGTTGCTTCAGTATGGTGAATATTACCATCCACATTCTGAATGCTGTTTTCCAAGTCCTGCATTTGACCTTTCAAAGATTCTGTTTTTTCTTGGTCCTGAGAAATGCTTTCCCGAAGCTGTAGGAGGACAACTTCAATCAATAAAAAGCAGTCCCTAGAAGTAAAAGTTAACAAGAATATAAAAACATCAATGCATAGTTCTAGTAGCAAAACCCAGTCAATAACAGAGTGCATGAACAGAACAAAGAAGAGAAGAATACAACTGGCAAGTACATCAGACAAAATACAATGGATAAGTAGCATTGCACCTACAATTCACAATATTTTATTATCCATGATGTGTTTTAAAATAAATCAACATAATAAAATCTTCATTTTTTTTTTAATTTCAAAAAAAATCTAAAGGAAAATCTTTATATTTACTTTTTGTTGTCCAAATTTTGGACAAACGTATGCGTGTGACTGTGTTTATGCATATATAGCAATTTAAGTAACGTAGACAAATATACCATGTGTTTGTACTGAACATCTGCAATGGTTGCTTATGGTTTTTAATGATATTGAAGAAAACTTATAAGCGAAATTACTGATAAGAGTAGAAGAAATAAATATCATAAAATTATTTTAATAAAAAAATTGGAAGAATATTTTCAAATAAAAATGACAATTATACTTTAAGGACATCATTAAATAATAAAATAATTTAAATTAAGTAGAGTAGAAAGTTATCATGTTTGTTTGAGCACAAAAGTCCATTGGAAAAGCCCAAACATATGTCACAGCATGACTATGGGACAAATCAACCAGGCACCCAAAATAGAAGGAAACACAAAGACCAGTAATAGGAGAAAACAAAAAGATATCAGTTTAGGTATATTCTTCTTTTTGAGGAAGGTTAGATTAGGGTAATAACATTTGCTGCCTTAAATTGATCCTAGAAAGATATTTAACTTCTTGTGTAATTCTATTACAGTTTCCATATTGGGGAAAAAAACAAAATGATGAATATTATAAAATTAGAAGTGTCTGAGAGTCTCAATTTTCTGGTGGACTTTAGATACTTCATATTTAAACAGATTCTAGACTTCTGAGTTCCAAGTGAATGCTAAATAGCACTAGATTTTTTGATTTGTGATGCATTAGGTGGTCATTGTTATTGGAATGAGGATTCATCTAAGCCTTTAGTGCTTTAATGTTTATTCACGGCGTCTAATTGAGACAGCAGCATTCGTGAAGAAAAAACTACGTGAGTAACATTTGTAATCTTGAATATTGTACATATACAAGAAATATTGCTCATTGAATATTCACCTATTCATAACTGTGGTTAATTATGCAAATTGCACTTTTCCTTTTTGAGACCCAAAACAATATATATACAATATTTTTTAACAAGTTATGAATAGGACAAATAACAAGTTAGTTAACTGTAGTTAGTTAAGCAAAGAAAAAAAAATTTGACAAGTTTTCTTCACTATTTTTTTCTGCTTCAACTAGGATAATTATCAATGAAGATTTACCAACCTTATATGCAGCATCTTTCAAGGTCTGAAGATTCTCCAACTTCAGCTTATAACTTTTTATCTCTTGAGCCTGATCCTTGTGAAGTTTCTTAATAACCTCCAATGCCTTTGTATACCTGTTCCAAATTGCAGATAAAAGTACATCAATAACTTGAACCACTAATAACTATAACTTCAGCAAAAATACCAGAGAATAATAAACTCGTGTGCAAATCCTAAATGGCTGTGAATGCATTTAAGGATAGTCAAATAGACACGAAAGAATAATAAACTTATGTGCAAATCCTAAATGGCTGTGAATAGATTTAGAGATAGTAAGACCAGACAAATGCAGATGTGCATGCAAGTGTTTGATTCCTCTAGACGAGCATATGCACACATGGACACACAGTGAGAAGGTTTAGTTCAATTAATACTTCTATCTAGGAAGATAGGTATAAATAAAGAGGTTCCTGATCTCATAAATCTAATCTGAGATCGGACATATCCATATGGCACAAATAATACTATTCATATCTAAGAAAACATGCATAAATAAAGAGGCTACATCTCATAAACTTTATCTACGACCAGATGTATCCATATGGCAAAAGCAATACAATACTTAACATTTTTAAGAACGTCCAGGTAATACAGGATAAGATTAGGATATAATCCAAGGGACATGCTAGCTAAAGTGATTAGCAATTTTCTATGAACAATTCAATTTTAAGATCTTCAAGAAGGTTTTGACTATCAAGTAATACAGAAAATAACTATCAAACAATCCAATTTCTTCATAATTCATCAAATATTCAGTTCAGTAATTGGATGGACACATTATAAGTGAGATAAGATGTATAATTGGAAAGTGAGGGAAAGTCAAAAGGATGAAAAAGAGGTAATGATATCTCATGGACAATATATCCCCTTGAAATCGGAAACCTGGAGGAAAGTAACTACTGACAAGGAAGAATGCCATTTTGCACCACTTACTGGTTCATCTTGCTTAATAGGGAAAAGGCTTTTCCTTTCTTCCATAGACTCCTTGCTAAAGTAAACAATAGATGGAGAGACATCCTCAAGCTAATTTTCATTTTCACCACCAATCTTTCTCCACCACCTATCCATCATTCTCACATAACAGTACGTTGCTGGGAAACATCTCGGCACTAACTATACCCGTCAAACAAAATCATGCGCTATCTTAAAAGTTTGGTTATACAGCAAGTGAATGAGAAGCCTAATACGCACAAGGGAACAACTAGGATCAAACTTTCCTTCCCTAAGGGTCTATGACCAGGTTATGTAGTCCACGTGACATTAAAAGCTTCCTGTCAAGTCCTTATACTGTTAACTACTGTAACTAAAAAATATCAACTTTCCTCGTAAATTTTCCAATAGATATTATGCAGCAGTGTTTGCAAGGTGAAGAGTACAGGAGTAGCAAATGCATAGTCACATAGGCAAAGAGAAAGGGAACATTAACTGTGTACATGAGATACAACAAAAAGGAAGGCAGAAAGAAATCAAACATATACCTGGTAGCCGAAAAGATATCATCAAACTTCTTTTTCAGTGTAGAAGGATCCTGCAATGGCCAGTTGGCTTCATCTTGGTGTACAAATATAACATTTTCTAAAATGGCTTTAGAAACACCCATTAAAGCAGGTATTTCCCTATCCATATCAGCGCATCTATAGCTCAGGCAAACTTTCTGCAGTTTGGAAATAGAGATAAAAAATTAGAAGCAAAGTTTGTTTCAAATTTATGCAGAATTATGTAGATATGATATATAATGCGATAACAGCCTTTTCAATTCCAACCCTAAGAGTAATAGATGGAACACATTAACAAGATGAGAAACTAAGAGGGATGCACCACTTCAATTTTAATAACTAAAAATGATAAAGATCCTCTTAAGTCCAGATGAAATCGTTTACAGATCATTCAATTTCATAATTCACTGAAAATAAATTACAATTTGAAGAGCCCTTCCATACTGTAAATCCACCTTAAATGTTTCAGTGGAACAAAACATATCCTCGAGAATAACTTTTTCATATTGTACCTTTTCGAGTTTGTTTTTCACATCTTCTTCAATCTATTTTGCAGCACCACACCTTGACGTACAACAATGAAAAATGTGGCTAAACATAATGCTATTACCAGTGCTTCAGAAATAACCATGAATCCTTATAATCTACAATTGGAATGGCCAAATTTTTAATGCAAAAAAATCAAACTGAGATAACCGAAATAAGGTCCTCAATACATGCAATGTCTTTCTGATATTAATACACAAATTAAAAGAACAAAGGTTCATAACCTCTCCAGTGTGAGGATTTATTGTTTGCAGCACACTCTCAATTGCTTTATACTCCATCTTTGATGCCTTTTGGGTCAGTTGAAAAGACCTTATGCATACAACATCCTTGCCTGCAGCTGTCTTGAACCGGAGCTTAATTTGCCCCTTTGTCTCCGTCTCTCCTGCAACCTACAAGCACAGAAGAAAAATTTGTAATTCAATTTTGCCAGAGATCCAACAAGGTTAATTAAGCTCCATGTATTGGAAGAAAAGAAAAACTAATGAAAACTAAAATACACCAAGGTTCCATTGGTTTGATTCTCATTCTACTTCATTTCCACACTCAATTTTCATATTAATGCTGATATGTACAACATACATGTATACATATATGATAGAATTCGAGGTACATCTTCAATTTGGGGGTACAGCTGCAGTGGACATTCATGAAGTTTTTCATATTACATGTACATAACTACTGGGCAGGGAAATTCATTTCTATAAATTTGAGAAAGCTAATAAACGGAAAGCAATATGGACGCACGCAACCCTAAGTTACTACAACATGAAAGCGACATCAGTAAATCAAGTACCGGTCAACAAAAGAAAGAGAGAAAAAAAAAAGCAGGAGGAGCAAACCTTGGGATCATGAACGAAGCTATGACCAGACCTGGCATTTGGGGGCAATTCTCCAGTACAAGAAAGCTTCAAGCACTCTATAATGGTCTGTACAATCAACCAAACAACACAAATATAACTACCAAACGTATATGAATCCAAACATAAGCACGAATGAATATCGAGCACGAGGAAATTACAGTTTTGCCGGCGCCATTTGGGCCGACGATTAAGGTTAAAGGCTTGAAGAAAGTGATGACGTGCTTGTTCTCGGGGTCGAAGCTCCGGATTCCTTTGATTAACATCTTGTCCACCGTGCTCATCTTTTCCCTTTTAAAAATTTGAAAATTACAAAAAAAAAAAAAGCAGGGAGTCTATTAACTCAGACTGATATGAAAAGTCATAAAAAAAAAAAATGGTGCGCGGAGAAAGAAGAGGTAGGCTGGTTGATTCGCAAATGGCGGGAAACAGTGTTTTTACAACCAGTTCTTCTGGTTATTGGACTCTGATTACATGAGACGAAAGAGAGGAAGTGGAGGAGGAGGGTTCTGGGTTTATTGCTGTTCCTCTTTTTTCAGTCGATGGAAAATGAGAAGAAAAAGGGCGGGTTTTATGTTAAGCTTATTTCATTTTTCGCGTTTATTATTATTTTAAAAAAAAAATCATTTTATAAAATTTATATATATATATATATATATCTATGAAATATATTTTAAATATATTATATTTTTCAATTGATATCATTATAATATTTAATTTATATGTAATATATTTGGGGGCATACGTAGTAATTGAGGAAGTCAAATATCGAGAAGCGAACTATTATTAATAGAAATCTTTGGACTACGTTTGCAATAAATTTAAATTTTTATATAATTTATGTATAAATTTATATTTAATTCAATTAAAAAACACTAAATTATTTAAAAATAATAAAGTAATCAAATGTTACATTTTATATATATATTTGGAACAGTACATTTTAAATTATTAATTTATATTGTTACACTTTAATATAAATTTATATATATGATCTTTTATCCTTATACTATGAAAAATGTTGAATCATTCATTAAAAGAAAAATTAGACAAAAAATTGAAATGTATCATGAGACAAAAAGAAAAAAACTACATTGAAGAGAAACAAACAAAAGATGTAGTAATTGAATATTAGATTTTTTAAAAAAATTATATTTATATATATGTGTGTGTGTGTTAATAATAATAAGATATAAACATAAATATAGGGTTGGGGAGAGGAGGAGGAAACAGTGTCGTTTGGAGAATAATAAGAGGGAGTGGATGGCTAGGATGAGATGAGATGGACGGGCATAATGAGGGGTAGGTAGAATATAAATAGGAAAAGAAAAAAAAAAGAAAAGAAAAACAGAGAGGAGGAGACGGGGAAGAGAAGGCTCGAGAGAGAAAGAAGCCGAAGCGGGAAGGAACGAGAAGATAGAACATGAGAAGGAAGACGGTGACGGTGCGAGCCATGGAAGTGCATAAAGATGGAGATCGAAGGTACGATAAAATTTAAGTTTCAAGCGTAGGATGAGGATGAATGTGAAGTTGTGACTGTAAGTTTTGATGAAATATATGAATCGCTTAGGAAATTGAGTAGGAAACTATGATATATGGAATAAGAGAGTGGAGAGAGACGGTGAATCATTGGAAATGTGAAATTGAACTGTGAGTAGAGGTAAATTGAGGAAGCTGCGGGATGAGAGATTGAGGAATTCGGTGAGTGAGTGAGTTACCGTTAGAGGGAGGAATATGGTGATTAAAAAAGTGTAAGGGAGATCGTAGGGAGGTGAGGTAATTTGGAGTGACTGGGGATGGGCAGAACGCGCACGGATTGAAGCTGAGGTAAACGAAGGGGAGGTAAGAGAGGTATAGAGATAGGAACGGTTAGGGGCAGAAAGAGTATAGGAGGGTAGTAGGGGAGGAGCTAGAACAGGAGGATAGGGAGATGTAGTGTGCTGCGACAGATTGATACCGCTAGGAGGAAAAACACGGCCCGCCGAAATAAACAAGGATAAGTGAATGACGGGATAGAGAGTGAATTGAGTCTATCCGGGAGT